CGGGCCATCAGAGTGTCCACCGTCTCGTTCACGATGTTGTGGGAGCTGGTGAGGACCAGCTGGGGATGGATGAGCGTGCCGCCGCACAGGTACTGCTGGCGCCCCGTGAAAATGGCCACCATCCAGGGGAACTGGCCGAAAATGGACACGTCCTCCGTGTAGTTGAATGTGTCCCTGTCGGGTATGAGGCCCTGCGGGTTGCTCCAGCCACAGCTCTTGTACTTGAAACCGTTCAGCTTCACCACATACGGACTCTGGCCGGCCTCCACCTGTAGGTCGAGAGGAAGTTCGTTAGCGAATCGCTCAGTGGGAAAAGGAAGAAAGAGTTCACCTTCTGGTCCACCGCACAGCAGCGATGCAGGGACCGAGTGCACTGTCCCACGCCGATCCTGGGATTGATGATGTTGCGCCCATCGTCGATGATGATGTTGTCGCGGCACAGTTTCCGCGGCACGCACTCCATGTTCATGCCGCAGCTCTCGTTGGGTTCCGGCTCCAGCACTTTGCCGTTCCTGTCCCTGATCGCAGACACCGCCGGTCTCTGGCCTGTCCTCAGCTGCCGTTCTGTCCGCTCTGCCCTCGTGGCATTCCAGCTCTCCAGCTGAGCGCGCTCGCAGCACATTTTGTCCGTGCCGCAAAAGCGGGCAATGCGTGGTCCGATACCCTTTCTACCCGAGTCGTCCGACTCCGTGCAGTGGGCCACCGTGGTGCAGAGCTCGTCATCACGGCACATCGGCGACGGCACATCCTGTGCGCTTGCCACCAGGACAAGAGCTGCCATGGCCAAAAAGATCCAGCGGCAGCTGCACGTTCTTCCGCTCATCGTGGCAGGGAACTCAAACTGCAACGAAGATCGAGAGAGAATAACGATCAGAGTCGACTTCAGCTGGCAGATAACACATCACTTATGTGCGAGAGGTTATCAGCAATCAATCAATTCAGGCAAATTCAGGCACACAAACACACACAAGCACGTCTTTAGTTTCATTGTTTCATTGGAATTGATTTATCGCCAGCTTATACTATGTACCATTTGAGTATCCAGAAACCGATGCACTTTTGCATACTTACAATCGAATATGTATACTATATATATGGGCGAATATATATAGCTGAATCTGCGGCAGAACTCAACTCAAATCTTGTTGCTGATCGCTAGCACAAAGTCAACTGAAATATTTGAGCTAAGCGTTAGACAATTTATAAGTAGAACCGGCTTGAACCGACGAGTATGCAAAGAGAGATGCATAGAGAGAGAGAGACTCTGGAGCTGATTAAACTCGTGAGATGGGAGGAGCTCCACTTTGTCTGGCAGTCAGTTTCGAGTCAGTATCAGTTCGATGAGCCCACAAGATCGTCGCTTGTTTCGTCTCACAATTTAGTCTTACTCGCGCCGTGCCTTCAAAACGATCTTAACTCGATCCGAATTCCGCATTGAACTGATTCATTCTACAATACATACAGGAAAAGGAAACGAGAGGTGTGCGAGAGTGGGGAAATTCCAATATCTCATAATCTGTGACGGCTTGGAGGGTCACACACGGCGTATAAGCAATGAATGAATTTCTGTGACTGGTTTTCCCCACTACAGCCTCTCTCCCTGTCTCTCTCGGTGTCTCTCTTGCAGATCGAGATGCGTGCTGAGCTGTTGGTAGTGCTGCTCCCTCTGTTCTCTCTGTTAACCGCTTGCTGGGCGGAGCGCAGCTGTTCCGATCTCGAGATTTGCATCGCCAAGAAGCTCTGTGACCAGACAGATGACTCCGGCCGTGGCCTGATCGGCACTCGCATTCTGGACCGCAGCTGTGGCCGGGGTTTGGTTTGCTGCGAGAAGTTGCAGCTGGAGAACTTTTATGCAGCGGAGGCCGACATCGAGTATCGCAGCCAGAGGAGAGGAAACCCCTGGGTGGGGACAACGGCGGCAACGACCACAGAGATTGCTGTGGCAAAGCACAATGAGCCAGAGACAGAGAGAGATACGGAGCCAGAAGACTACAAGAGCTGTGGCGAGCAACAGTTGTGTGTGCCTCGGCACTTGTGCACCACGGGAACCGTGAACCAGGATGGCCGCTACGTGATCAAACCGCGGATCAATGAGGAGAGCAACTTTGGCTGTCGCTCCGTTGAGGTTTGCTGTCCCACAAGCGAACAGGTGAGAGATGTGTGCAGTGGGAGGATCTGCCTTGACATCTTACCATTCACAGATCGAGGAGGGCCAGAGTCGCACGCAGCGGAAGCTCAAGGAGTTCGAGTACAGGGGCTGCGGGTACAGCAATCCCAAGGGTCTCTACTACAAGCTGGATGGCTACAACGACAGCGAGTCCACCTTTGCCGAGTTCCCCTGGATGGTGGCCCTGATGGACATGGAGGGCAACTATATTTGCGGCGGCTCACTGATCCATCCGCAAATGGTGCTGACCAGCGCCCATAATGTGGCCAACCACAGCGAGGACTCGCTGCTGGCCCGCGCCGGCGACTGGGACCTGAACAGCCAGCGGGAGCCGCATCCCTACCAGATGCGTCGCATTGGCCAGCTGCACCGCCACGAGGAATACAACAAGCTGAACTTCTACAACGACATGGCTCTGCTGATACTGGAGCGGCCCTTCAAGCTTGCCCCCCACATCCAGCCCATCTGCCTGCCGTCCGCGGAGACATCGAGGGTGCTGGAGGACATGCGGCGTGCCCAGTGCCTGGCCACTGGCTGGGGCCACACCAACAGTTCGGCCAAGAGCATGGAGCATCTGCTGAAGCGCATCGAGCTGCCGGTGGTGGAGCACGAGGACTGTCAGCGCCTGCTGCGCCGCACGATTCTGGGCCGACGCTTCCGCCTCCACGACAGCTTCCTCTGTGCCGGCGGCGTCGAGGGCAAGGACACCTGCAAGGGCGACGGCGGTTCGCCGCTCTTCTGCACGCTGCCCGGCCAGACGGATCGCTACCAGCTGGCCGGCATCGTCTCCTGGGGCATTGAGTGTGCCGAGAAGGACTTTCCAGCGGCCTACACGAATGTCGCCCACCTGCGGGACTGGATCAACGAAATGGTAATCCAAGCGGGCTTCTCCCTGAATGACCTTGCCTAGGGGACATTCAATCAATAATTAGGAATAATAAAGTGTCTTTCATTCAGTTAAATCCACGCTGGGCGCATTTATTTCTCCGCTTCACTTGCCGTGAAGATAATTTAGTGTCTAATTTTCAATGGCAATCCATCCCTCAGTCCATTTTCCATTCCCAACCAACCGCAATCGTGGCTGTCGGGAGTTTTTAAGCCGAATTGACTGGCAGCCGCCTGCCGGCTGCCGGCTGCCGGCTGGAGTGCAAAAAGGGAAAATGGGGAAAATGAAAATTGATGGCGGAACAGGTGAAAGTTCTTCGTGGCAGTTCCACTTAACCCATTCAATGCAAGATTTATGTGCAGCTTAAGCCGACGATTTCGATTCCGTTTCCGACTCCAGCATGGGTTTTGCTGTGTGGCTTAAGTTGAAATTTGGAAGCTGAACGAATTCACTTACTCGCCAGCGTCTTTCTGCCATCCGAGTCCCCCATGGCAACCATTTGCATTGTTAATTGGCGTTGGTTGTGGTTCGAAAAACCACAAGAAGCAATCAACTGCCAAAATGCCTTCTCCTCTGACTCTTCCCGTGACTCTGCCTTGCCCTGCTGACTGTGAACTCAAGGACTCAGGGCCCAGGGCCCAGGGAGGACTCTTCCCAGTGCGTCTGTTAATACTCCATTCTGTTGCCGTTTGTGTATTTTGACAGTGGCGAAAAACCACAGAGATTCATTTGAAATGCAGAAACCTAATTTGCGAATCGCTTTTTCTCGACTTTCTACTATTTTCCGACTAGTAGGCAAATTTACTCCAGACAAACAGAAAACAGAAAACAGAAAACGGGAAACACGGCAACATCTCATAATGATAATTAATCCCCCAGGAAGAGGGGATTCCACAGCCGTAAATTGGAGAGGGAACACACACAAACAAGCCTGGAAAAACCCGGGGAAAATGCAACAAAAACGCTTTACGCTTCGCTTTTTTCGATTTTTAAAGCATACTTCCGACTGATGCTGGGGGAAATTTACAGTAGGCCAAGCACAAGTGCAGATATCAGTAGCTAACTGACTCACTGACTGGTTGACTGATTGCTCATACGCACCGTTGACTGCCACTGCCACTGCCAGGGATCCTGCACTGTCTCTGCCAAGCTATCTGCTGGAATTCAATAACCATTCCTGCCTTTTCATGGCATATTTTGTCTTTTTTCGTTGTTGTTTGGATTGTCTCTGCTAGGCGAGACATTTTATGGCGCTACAAATCAAAATTTGTTGAGCCCCTCGCTACGTCCCATAAATCAGAATGTCCCGTCTGCACCGTACATGAATCTCCTTGGCGAGGCCAACGTAAAAATGCAATTATTGTTCATATTTTCATGCATGAGAACGATTTGACAATTTGCCGGCTAGAAATTTTATGATCTAAACTCATTTTTGGCCAGGCCAAAATAATTTCCACTCAAACTCCCCGCCGTGTGCACCGTGTGCGCAATAATTAAGAATTCAATTTAAACTTTTGAAACTTTTAGCGTTGAGTAAGGGACGGGCGACGGGCGACGGGCGACGGGCTACATCAGGTGGCTCAGTGCTGCGGCATTCTCTGTGGCGGTGTAAAGTCAAAAAGCCGCAACATCATTACGCTTTTGCATTTGCATGCTGCTGGCATGCCACAAACTTTAGCTCGCACACAACCAAGCAAAAACAAGGAACAACAAGGAAAAAGCAGCAGGAAAGTGCTAGACTTTTGCATACCCCACAATCGTGGAGTGTTCTCTACTTTCTGTCCAGATTTTGCACACACAATACAGATATGATAAAGATTGAATATTACCCGTGGACGTGTGCGTGGTACTGCATTTCTGCAGAGGCACCCCAGATGCTGATTGTTGTGTTTTTGCTGCTGCTTAAAGGTTCTGTGCAGATTAAGGAGGGAATGAAAATGCATTTAATTAGCAGCACAATAGACAGACATTTTCATTATAGCAACCCGAAATTATTTGTGATTCAAATGTGGATCGGAATTGGAGCTCTCGACAGACATCTCTGAGTGGTTGGACCTGAGATCTGTCAATCCACACGATGACGCAGAACCGTGCGGACATCCTTGGTGAAGCGCAGGGCGTCGAGGAAGGGCAGCAGCTTCAGCAGTTCCGTGTCGCTGGGATCGTAGATGTACGACTTGATGGGGATGGCGTTGTGGGGAAAGTCCTTGTAGGCATTGGGCGTGTTGTCAATGATGAGGGTTCTCCTCATATCCCGATTGACCAGCGTCAGGTCCTTGCTCACAATGGAGGCGTGGGAGCTGCAGTGCTGCCGAAAGAAGCGCCGCGGCAGTATGCCCCGTCCGGCGTCCAGCAGGTCCACCACCCGTGTGGCATACGCCTCCACACTGGCCGTATAGATGGCCAGGTCATACCACTTGGACACATGGTCGAGAAACAGGTCGACATGTGGCCGCTTGTACACCAGGAACAGAATCGGCTCTGTGCCATCAATCAGCAGGAGCAGCTTGTGGTCGGGCACTGCGTCGGCCGGCACTTGGCTGCCGCCCACGTACTCATTGGTCTCCGGATCCATGTAGCACGAGTGGAGCAGCGTCTCGTCCAGATCCAGCACCAAAGTCTTTCGCGGCACTCGTTCCAGCTGCAATGCGCAGACATCTGACAGCGGCACCTCCTTGTACGTAATGTATCGAGACGGCTGGAAGAACTCCAGTGTCTGGGCCACCACAAACGCTATCAGTCGCCGAAGACCGCTGTACAGCTCGTCTCGCAACGAAAGGAGCATCGAGGCGGGAGGTAATGCAGGCAGGACGTCCAGGTTGGCAGCCGGCGAGCTCTGTTGATTGTTGTTCATAGCCGGGACCAACAACGACTGTGGCGGCTCCAGACTGATCATTTTGGTACCTAAATTTGTTGACTTTTTGTTCACATTTATAACTTACAAATTTGCTAGCTGGATGGATTCGTGTAGGTCTTACTTTGAGTTGTTTTGTGCTGCTCGGAAAACGAATAAATAAAAGTGTCAGATCAGTCTCGACTAACTTACACTTTGGAACACTGTTTTTACATTTTACACTCACAATGTCCGATCAGCAGGATGGGGCCGAGCAGGAGCCGAATGCAATGGACCGGGAGTTTGACGAGTTCTGGGACAAGGTCAGCTGCTACGTTGTGGCCAACTTTCCGTATGACGAGAGATGCGACTTTGTGCTGAACGCCACGACTTGCATAACCGACACCATATTCGTGCCCTACATGCGGATGCTGGCGTGCGATCTAAAGTGCCGCAACCAATTCCAGGAGCTCGTCTACCTCACACTCTTTGTGGCCTTCTGCCTGCAGCTGCTGATGTGCCTCACCCATGTGGTGGATATGTAGTAAGTGAGAGGACATGCCGCACTCGATTTCCGCACGCCCCACTATCTCCACCTTTAGCTACAGTCCGGCGCTGAAGGTCGTCTCACAGTTGTTGCACATGAACGAGCATTTGGCGGGTGTCACGCTGATGGCATTTGCCAACACCTCACCCGATCTGGCTGCCAATTTGGCGGCCATCAAGCAGGAAGTGCCCGTGTTTGCCAACTCCCTAGCCATGGCCCTGTTTGTGTCGATGTTCACCGGTGGAATGATCTGCTACATCAGCCCCTTCAAGATGAACACCCACGGAACGGTGCGCGATATTCTGTTCTTTATGCTGGGAGTGGCTCTGCTGGAGTATGTAATGGTCTCCCACGGTGCGGTGACCATGAACGAATGTTTTCGTACGTCTTGCCGGGACACTCTTTCCCACTGTCTAATTTGTGTCTCCTCCTTTACGGCAGTGCTGGTTATGGTCTACATATCGTACATTGTAGTAAACATCTTGGATGTTTATCTAATGCGCAAAGCCATGATTAGTGAGTGCCAAAATCATGGCAGATGAACCGCTTGGATTTTATTCTAATCTCCATTCTATTTGTAGCACTGGAACACCAAATGGCCGAACTGCAGGATCAGCCATTCACGCCGGAGGTCAGAAGAAAGCTGGAAAAACTCCAAGAGCAATATTCAGAATATGCCGAAGATGCCACGGTCGAGATATTGGAGAGGCCTGACAGTAAGGTGCGAGGCTCGATTGTCAATCCCCTCAGCGATAAGCTCTCCTTCGCCACCAAGCGTGCCTCGCGGGTGCGCCTCAGCGTCAATCCTCAGGCCACACGGAGTGTTTTTTATAATCTAACAGCTGGCCGCAACCACGGACTGTTGATGGATTTCTTCAAGACACTGAATCCCATTGATGTCGCGGAGTGGCGGGAGAATAACATGTTTGGGCGTGCCTTCCAGCTGGCCATGGCGCCGGCAAAGTTTCTGTGCGCCGCCTACATACCGCTCGTGGACCATGAGATGGAGAAGCACGGCTGGAGCAAGCTGCTCAACTGCATCCACACATTCCTGAATCCGGCCATCACCATTGTCGTCTCCATGGGTGAGTGGTTGTCGTTGTCCCCCTGTGGAGTGCACTTTGTGCATTTTGCTCTCTTTCTTGCAGCGTTGCTCTCCTCCGATAAGAAGAAACTTTGGTACTGGCAGCTGGGCAACACATACATCTACGGCCTGTACTCCTGTGCCATCACCGTGCCCGTGGCCCTCGTGGTATTTGCACATTCCCGTAGCGATGTGCCGCCCATCTACCACTGGGTGAGTGGCGGCAGCTCAGTTCCCAGTTGCTCTATCAAACTGTCTTTCAGCTGTACACGATCATGAACCTGACCGGCTCCACCTTCCTGATCTTTGTGTGTGCTTCGGAGATCGACAAGCTGCTGGGCGTGGTGGGCAACATATTGAACATAGAGGAGGACTTTATGGGCGTCACAGTCAACGCCATTACTCAGGCCTTGGGGGATCTGGTGGCCAACACGGCCATGGCCTATCAGGGCTACGAGAAGATGGCCTATGCGGCAGCCATCGGCGGTCCCTTCTTCAGTGAGTTCTGCCCTGCAAAGAATCATTTTTCACAGTTTTTCCCTTTAGATGTGCTGCTGGCCACGGGCGCTGTTATGTATGCGAAACTAAATATTGGCATGGAGGTGACCATTCAGGAGCAGACGGGACAGTATGGTACCAATGCGTACATTTTCCTCAATCTTGGCCTCTTTGCCACGCTGCTGTGGACCTCAACGCTGGACTTTTTTGCCCGCCGCTCCATGGGCGTGTTCTCGATGGGCATTTACTTTCTGTTCCTAGTGTTTGCCTTGCTAACGCATCAGAATGTCATTCACTCGTTTGCCCATGATCCGACTGTGGAGCCATCGCTTTATCTCGACTGACTGCATATCCATTTGATCACTCAAAGACTTGACAGAACTACAGAGTAAATGGCATATCCAGGCTCTGTGTGTATGCCTTTTACCATGTAAATTTCCATGCAGACAATTGCTTGGCTGCTTGGCTGCCTGCCATCGTCGAGACTAGTACTTAAGAGTTGTTTCCATTTGGCAAGGGAAACCGAATAAATATCATAACGAAGCAGCTGCGCCCTAGTATGGGTAGTTCAATGTATAACTAATAAGTTTCCTGTTGAGTGGAGGAGGTCCTTGCATATCCTTGCCCAGCGACAGGCGGAAGCATTTCCATTTCTTGGCGCCGGATGTTGCCATTTTACTGATGTGCCATTCTATCTCAGTGGCCCACAGACCTTTGGGTGGGTTTTGCCCTTGTTCTTGCTGGCTTTTCCTTAAGTATTTATTTCAGTACCATTGAAGGGAAGTTACATTGACTGCAGACTGCAGAAACTCTTCAACAACTCCTCTTCATTCGTAGACACAAAAATCCCTGCAATCTACGGTAAAAGGCAGCCACATGCCACATGCCACATTCCCCCGTGTCCCACTTTTCACACTTCAGTGCAAATCGGTTAAGTCAAACGTAAGTCTCCGCTAATTGCAACTAGGCAGGTCACAGGCAAATTCGTGGCTGACAATTCATTAGTCGCACACAACAAACACACAGACAGGGGGACAAAGGAGAGGGCGACACCACAGTGGCCACAGCCACAGACTATCTAGTGGATGGGAGTGGCAGTGTCCCTGGTATTAGTTGGGGATTGCATAATGTACAGTTGTACAGTTGTACAGTTGTAAGTGCAACTGTTGCTGCTGCTCCTGCGACTTCCGCAGGCTGCAACCTGGCGTATACGCAACGTGCCAGCCAACTAATTGAGTTATAATGCTAAGCGGCAATTTATGGCGAGAAGCAGCAGCAACCAAGACCTTCCCCAGACATAAATCAGCACGCAATGCAGTGCCTGGGAGGGGCCTGGGGTTATTTAATATATCCCATAAATATGTTTCTGTCCAATATTCCCTTTCACGCCCGCCCTGCTCCGGCAGACAACTGCAGCAGAAAGTTTCTCGGCGGAAATGGCAAACGGCAAACTGAAACTTGTGAGATATTTTCGGTATTTCCTTGGTATACGTATTTTCCGTTTATTAAGAAAAATGATGAAGTTTCCCTCGCCACGCCATGGCACACAGCCCAAGCCGCTCCCTCTTCGTTGTTATGAATTGTTTGTTGTGGCAGTGGGACCTGGACCCGCCAGCATAGTTGCCTTCAAGAACTTTGCAAGTCTGCCCAAATCCTGCGAGAAGAAAACTATGGGAACCATTTCATCCAATTTGGGGTCCATGATGAAGCTGGAGAACTAACCAAGCTGCAACTGTCTATAAATGTTTGCAATGCAGTTCAGCTTGTGGCTTTAAATGGAATATTTCCGACACTCGTTGTGAGTTCAGGAAACACCTACAGCTTAAAGGGAATAAAAGAGGAAAAGGTAACTATTTCCATTGTTTGCCAGTTTGATATACGTTTGATATAAAAATACGGACAGCAAACCCAAGTTAACATTTAATAAATATCATGCCAGTACGAACAGAAACCTGAATGTCACCTGCATCGATGACACGCACACCTGGGCTTTGCTCCACTACAAATTTATGATATTGCCAACAAAGTGGCAGTCTGATAAGAACCCAAGCCAAGGAACCAAAGCATTCATTCATTAGGCGATAAGTAGTAGACCTCCACTTACCGTTCCGACTTGAAGCTCGATCAAATAATGTAGCGTAGGAGTAAGAAACGTAGCTACAAACATCCGCATTTTGAAGGGATTCCCCAGCTAAACCGTTTCCATTGATGGTCCAATCCGAATGGTTGCTTCGAGCCCCCGGGGGTCTGATCCATCAAAATCAATTTTTGGCTCATGAATAAGCAAGCAGCTGGCAACTGGAATGCCATTTTGCACTTGTGCATTAAATATTTGATGACTTCACACCGAATCATGGCCAAAGAAGACCTAGGCAACGGGATAGTCCTTGCTCCATTCTTATTTTTTCACGTTCCTCTGTCGGGGGATGGAGCGACTCAATGTGGGAGCGTGGGGGGAAATGCAAAACAATTTTGGTAACAAGCAAAATGCATCAAATCTCATGGACGTCATGGCTGGGCCTGGGACTCCTAGGGACAACTGGAGTGGCGAAAAGAGAAACCAAAGCTGTTGCAAAAACATGTCCCATTAAGTGCACGGATGGAGGGGACCGCCAGATAGACAGGCAGATGGACAGGCAGCCAGGCAGCCACGCAGGCAGGAAGTCTGAGGGTCTTGAGTGCTTTTATTGCTGCCGGAACTCTCTGTGTTGCATTTGCCTTTGAAGCTGACGCTGACGCTGATGCTGATGCTGATGCTGGAGATGGCTTCCGTATCGCTTTTTTTTTGCCTCTCCACAAGTACGAATGCGAGTAGAGCATGTGCCTCCCCTGCTTGGTTATGCAATTGTACTTAAATGTAATGGCCCTGGCTACAGCTACAGTTACAGCCGGAATAAGAGCCGGAATCAAGGGAAATTTACATGTTAGAGTCAATATTAAGGCGGTGCAGATATGAACTGTGAAAGTTGCCCCCCCCCTGTATGACCCACTTCTCGCTTGGGCCTGCCTTTGGTTGCATCTTTGCATCCACTGGCTGGCTCCTTAAACGCTGACAGGGCGTCACCAAGAACACCCCACCCCGGACCAGCACTTGAACCCTAATTAACGTCGTTCCCTTCACTTTGCCTTCATTATGCCAAGCGCTTTTTTCTGAAATAGAGACGATGCTGGTGGCAGGAGAGAACTTGGCAGTGGTTGGTTGCTCCACTGAATTTCAATGGACTCTCTGTCAGTTCTTGTGGCGGACTTTGTCTTTGGTACGCATTTCACTGGTTTGCAGCTTAATTATGATACTTCATTAGTTTAATTAGTCTGTGATTGTTGGACTGATGACAGCAAATCATACACGACTCGTACTCGTGGCACATCTCTACTTTGGATTGAAGTACTGGTCCTTGGAGAACTCGTGCACAACGTCCCACTCCACACCGATGCAATAGATGATGAATATCAGAAACATGAGCCACATGAAGATGCCAGCGGAGCGGCGGGCGTAGAAATTGAAGGTCATGCACCACCACAATGTGGCAAGGATGGTGATCATGAGGAATATGTAGCAGTTATCACCGTGCTCGCCATACAGCCAGAAGGCAGCACCAGACGTGCGAACTTTTTCATTGAAGATAAACGAAGTGCCCATGGTAACAACAATGGCTGAAGGGAAAGGCAGGACTATGGCAAATGGAATCTCGATAATGCAGTGGAAACTCACAGAAGACTGGACCACCTATAATGGCGGCAAAGGCCATTTTCTCGTAGCCCTGAAGGGCCAGGTTGGAGTTCGCTATAATGTCCGCCATCGCATTGGCCACCGAGCCAAAGGTGATGGCCATGAAGTTGCCCGATAGATTAAAGACAATGCCCACAATGGAAGTCAGCACCTCCATTTCGCTGGCACACACCCAGATGATAACGATGGAGCTGGTGAAACTGAATGCGATGAACATCTAGGGGAAGGAAGCGAATAAATGGATGTGGTTCAGAGTGGATGACAGTTCTTACGATATGATAGAAGGGCGGCACATCTGTGCGACTGTGAAAGAGGACAAATGTGGCCAGAGGCACTGTCACGAAGGGGGACCACTTTGAGATGCTCAAATCAGGTATTATGTACCAGGCGTAGTACAAACTGCTGGCCGAAGCTAGGGGCAAGAGGAAGTTGAGGTCATAATGATCCATTCAAGGGTATGTGGGATACCTACAATGCACCAGGGTGATCATGATGAAGGGATTTGTGATGATTTGCGTACAGTTGAGCAGCTTGCTCCAGCCGTGCTTGTCCTTCTCGTAGTCCACAACGGGCACAAATAGAATGAGAATAAAATAGAGTGGACTTCGTGCGATCTGGATAAAGCGCTGACACCAGCCAGCCAGCACCCATTCCTCCCTGTCAATGGGATTCAGGGACTGAAAGAATTCCGTAATGAGGAAAAGGTTCTTCGGGTTCCGCTCATCGTGGAGGATTGTTCGGGTCTCTATGTGGTTCACGACTTCGGGACGAATCCGCTTCTTTGGTGTGCTGAAGAAGTAGCCCTTCTCGAGTGTTTCAGACTGAGCTCGAACGAGTTGTTTGGTGTCGTTGATATTCAACTCGTCATCCCGTTCCAGTTCCTGCAGCAAACGCTTCTTCTCAGCCATTTCTCGTTGGCTATCAGGGGAAGCTCTCAATTCATAAATGTCCCTTCGAAGCTCTGCGTGGGTTAAACAAATAATCAGAATAAATATGTAACCATTTCAGTACTTACTTTTTATGGTGTAGCGCAGCAGCAGGAGATCCAGTATATTGATAATCAGATAGGTGAGATAAATGCAAACCAAAACTGATCCAGAGGATAATTAGGGATGGGAAACACAAAATAAAACAATTTAGAGTTATTATCAGCATACCAACAGACTCCTTTACGGACACGTTGCCCTCACTGAATATTATCGAGCGGAGCATCACCAGGCTGAGCAGCAGGAACAGAAGATCGCGGATGGTGCTGGGACCGTTCATCTTGAAGGGCTTCAGAAAGCAGACCATGCCGCCACTTAGGAGCATGATTACTAGAGAATTTCCCACGGTTATCGTGAATATGGGTGCGTCGGCTCGTATGGGCATTAGGTTGGCTATCAAGTCGGGACAAGTATTGCCAAATGCCAGAAGCGTAACGCCCGCCAGGTACTCGTTCATGTGCAGCTTCATCGAAATGATCTTCATGGCGGGAGCGAAGCTGCAGAATTGCATTGGGAATGAGAACATTCCTCGACGTACATATTCTTGCCAACTTACAACACGTCAATGGTGAGAGTCATGAGCAGCAGAAAGGCAATCACCAGCAGGCAGAAGAGCACCATGATCGAAATCTCCGTAAACTTGTCGGATATGTGGAAGGCGCAGTACATCATCTTGAAGTAGTTGAACAGATTGATGATCGTCTGACAGTCCAGCACTTGCCTGGCCATCATGCAACGCCGATTGTACGGCAGCTTCATCACCGTCAAGCAGCTCATCTGCTTTGAGGAATGGGAATGTAAATGATGCCCAGAGGACTCGCCAGTGAACTCACGTTCTTCAGATACGAATAGAACTCATGGTCCAGGAATGTCCAGTTCAATTTGTCAACGTGATCAACCATTGTCTCGACGCTCTCTCTTTTTCCTTTGCTATGTGAATATGAATACTATTTTTATACACAAATTAGATGCGTTGAAGGGAATCGAACAAACACCTAAATACGAGTATATTCCAAGGGAGTTCTTTAACCCAACAAACAGATATTTTAGGCGTACATTTCCCTGGAGGAATACCAAAATAACAAAGTGATTGCCAGCCAAGATGTCTACGTCAGCGATTTGATACGGAGCTACCGCATAAATCAACATCAGAGGATTGTTTTCTACTCCTAGGTTCTTCCCCTAACCACAACCTAATCATTCTGGCAATACGAATACTGGAGAGCAGACGACTAGTGGCATTGTAAATCAGTTTTGTATACACAGTACCTCGGGTCGATAAGATCCCATTCAAGTTTTAGTGGATCGATTCGGTATAAAAGCAGCTCATCGGCAAAGGGATTCTCCGTCAGAAACCATAACCGTCCACAGTCATGGTGTCCAAAGTTGCTCTTCTTCTCGCCGTGCTGGTGTGCAGCCAGTACATGGCCCAAGGCGTCTATGTCATCTCCAAGGGAGAGTGGGGCGGCCGTGCTCCCAGCTGGACCGTAGCCCTGGGCAACTACCTCGGCTACGCCATCATCCATCACACCGCCGGCTCCTACTGCGAGACCCGGTCCGCCTGCGAGGCTGTCCTGCGCAGCGTCCAGAACTACCACATGGACTCCCTGGGCT